AATAAGACAGAAATATTTCTCCGCCTTCAGAATTAGAGGCCAAGTAAAATTTGGTCCAGAAATAAATTAAAAACAATCCTAACACAGGGAAAACTCTGCAAGATCAATAAAGCTGTCTAGAATGAAAAACCACGGACACCTCCATTCATGAGTCTGTTATGTGAATTACAAAAAGAAAGAGCTTCTACTAAGGTGGCTGTTGGACAAACTCATAATATTACAGTATCACCACTGCCCCCTTTACAAGATACAGGCTGCAGCTCTCAGAGTTGGGCAGATGGTCATTGCAGTGAGTTATAACCAGGTTCAAAGCTATGTCTTCCAAAATACAGTGTTCCTAAGGAATTTTTACAGGCCAGATATGCTGATTTTGTACCATTATAGGGAATGCATATTCCAGTTTGGGTTTTACTCAGTCTAATAGCAGTGCAGGAAGTAGCAGGTGTCTGCATGCAGAACAGCTGTCTCCCCAGCAGGACACCATGGCTCTCCTGACTGCTTTATCTGAGGACTTCTTGTGAAGTCAACCCACAAACTAAATGTAAACTCTTGAAATTATCTTTTCACTTCTCTTGACTGTCCCCTTTCCTGTTTTCCCTGCAGCTTTTCACAAATTCTAGGGAGGTTTGCTGAACAGAACTTAAACTCTTAACATTCTTGAAGTATTTTTCCTCCTGGTTACTACTTTGTAGCCTGCTGCAGTGCACCATCAGAAAAAGCTGTTAGATAATATCCACTCTGGATGAGTTCAGCATTTCATATGTAGCATGTCTTCTTTTCCAACACACTTTAAGAGAGATCTTTAAAGTTATAAGAAAATTACCTTTAGGTGTGTAAAAAATTCTGCCATTTTGCCAGTATATTTCACTGAATTATACAACTGAATGTAGTGTTAAAAATGCCTGTATTTTGCAGACAGAGGATTCTGTGTGTAGGTTCCTACATGAATAATGATAAAAGATAGAATGAGACTGAAATGCTACTTCATTTTCTTCTGTTTCATCTCTTCCTGTTTTCTGAAGGTTGTTACTGTGACACAAATGTGAAAAAAAAAAAAAAAAAGAACCCAACTTCCTACTTCTAATCTGTTTGAAGTCTTTGTCCTCGTTTCTGCTTGCATCAAGTATTGACAGAAATGAGACTCCTTTTGTTGAAATGCCTCGCTCAATAAAAGGTATGTAAGCTAAAATTATTTACAGACTATAGAGAATTCCACTTCTGTATTCTCTCTAGTATTATCTTTAAGGTAGGGATCACCAAAAGCTTCTAAAAAGGGCCAGAACTTCTTCTATAGTCTAGTATCTTACACATGTTCAGAATGTTGAAAAACTGCTTCTGTGTGGTTACAAAAATGAACTAACACTATAATCGCTACAGATTATATCTGTAGACCAAGTCATGTTTTTTCTTATCTAATTAGAATAATTTTTTTTACACTAATAGTTTGATGATACAAGTTACAAGTTGAGCTCAGAACATCAGGTGGATGCTTAGTAACAGCCGGGGGGATAAAGAAAAAAGGAAGTTTTAATACTTTAGGCAAGGACTACCCAGAATTAGCCTTGGAGTAGAATGAGTTTGAGATAAGCTTTTTTTTTTTTGTCAATGTGCAAAGAAACACAGTGGCTTTTTTTGCATATAAACAACAGATGTGAAATTATGATCAGATTTGCCACAGTAGAAAACAAGCGACGGAATTTTCACTTAGGAGGAAAATATCTTTTATTTGCTGTGAAAAGTAGCAAACTACCACAGCTCGTAGAAAAGTATTATTCAACTCTTTAAAAAGTAATGAGATCATGTATTACCATATCAATTTTTTAGCATTTGTTAAACGTTCCTTTAGCTTCTCCGTAGTAATTTGAGCATTTTTCTTGTAGAACTTCCTGGAGCACTGAAATGATTCTCAGAATTACACTGTAGTTTGGCCTCCAGAAATTTAACAGAGTAAGTGAAATTACACAGAGACTGGTACTTACGAACTACAGGATTTGTATTTAAAACATCTGTCCACCACAAGTTCTACTCATTGACAGGCTGGACTCGAAGGACCCATCAGCTGTGTATGTGCATGTTCAAGGGAGAACACTGGGGCAGCAGGGAGTGCACACTTCTGTCCAGGGAAGGCAGAAGCACAGATACTCTGACTTGCTTTGTCTGATGTGGTGGTTGTTAGATGTTCTTCCTACATGGTTATTCAGACTTCACTTTTCTTCTTTGAGTCTTATCTCTGCAGGATATTTTTCCCCCCTCAACTTTTCCTTATTTTCACATCTTTGGAAAAACTACTGCTTGCTTAGGTTATGAGTACCATTGGCTCGGTACTTACCACTTGCTGCTGTTTTTATTGTGTGCTGTGTTTAAGTTGATACAAAGAAAGGTGACTATATAGTTTAAGAACCACGTTAAATTGAATTGAAAGGTCTATAACCTCACTCTGCAAATTAGAGAAATATATTTTTATCCCACAGAATATGGATAATAATTTAATTCCTTTAACAAGCCATATTCTTTTAACATTGTTTTATCAATATAGTCAATACTTAAACTACAAAGCCACTTAAGTGATAGTTTCATGTAAAAATCTCTGAAGTGGACAAGAAAAGTTTATGCTTGATAACTGATGAGAAAGGAGAAAATGCAACTTCAAACACATTGCTGTGTGCAGTCAGTGAATATTGCAGGTTGTTTTCTGGGATTTTATTGCAATAATATCTTTGGGTGAAGATGATGAGTCCCATCAGGCACTGATACCTGTCCCATAAACTGTCTAATCCTGAGCCCAACGCAGTTGGTCGCAAGCTTCTCTGTTCCTTCAGTGGCTCATCAGCTGTTTTGCTGCTGCATCTGATTCATGCTGAGATGCTAACGGCCTTGCTTATGAGCAGAAGGAAAGTCAGAGGATATCTCCCAGGAACTAAATTGCTGGTTTTTCCTCCACTTTTCCAATTCTAGTAATAAGCAAAGTAGATCAGAGAGCAACTGGAAGAGCCTTGGCTGTGAAACATAAGTTACCAGCCAGCAACAGAATTTCCAGAAGTGGTGCTAAGTGAGGAGCACAAAGGAATAGGTATCAGGTTCTTGGTATATTAGTTTGTGTTGCTCAAGGAAACAAGTTTTTAAGTTGCATTGTGAGCTACACATAGGGATGAAATAATCTGTGGGATTAAAGGTAACATCCTAATGTGCAAAACCTTTTCCTTTGCAGAAGGCTGATAACCAATAGCGTTGCTTCATGTTTCTGTTGCAATGGTGCATACATTTAATATGAAAACCCCCTGCATTCCTAGTCTATTAATTAAGATGCAAAGTATATTTATTACTTGGCACATCACTCATTGACCGTAGCCTGTTCCATTTGGTTATTGATAGAAAGTTATTTTCCCATTATTTTCATGTGACACTATCATTTTCAGTTGTAAAGTAGCAGAACATGGATCTCCATCTAACTTTATATCAACTTACCAGCTTTATTAACTGCTCAAATAGTACCTGAGGAATACTCAGAGACAATTACACTGAGGTTGCCATTTCCCTTTATGTGAATCATTTGTAAAATCCTCAGTAACTACAAGCAACAGAGATTTTGCTTTGAATAATGGTAACATAGTGTGTGTGTGTCATATGGAACCAGCCCAGATTTCAAACAATGTTTTTGATTGTTATTTCTGTTTCCCAGCAATTGTTACCTATTAAAATGATCTAAGGAAGGTACAGAAACACCACTAAAGATTATGGAGCAAAGCAATAAATTGCAGATTTCACATTTTGTCACTGATTATGCTATTTCAAATGGAGTTTTTATGACTGTTTGCACAATCATTCGTAACAGCAAATGTGAGGGTAGCTGAATGAGAATTTGAATGAACATGCACAGAACACCTGATTTTCACCCAAACTGTAATTACAAGAGGTTATCCTGATGCCTCTATCAGCTCTTACAAAAGTAATTTTCAACTAGCTTATCTTGATATTTTCCTAGTTTGTTTCTAAGAAAGAACAAAGACAAGACAATTTTAGTTAAGATAAGAAAGTAGTCTGGACCAGCACCAATCCTGAATATATTTGGACTGATTTCATAAGAATAGGTTAACTTTTTCCTAAAACTGTCTACAAAATATTTTCATCTGGCATTGAAAGCATTTAAAAAATAAGCTGTGTGCCACAATACTGCCTTTAATTAGCTAAAATTAATTTTGGCTACACAAAAGACAGCCCTAATTTATCCAACTATTTTCCCATGATACTGTATTTTCTAATTTGTGCATATTTATGTGAATCTTGTGTAAAACAGGACATCAGTTTCATTTGGTTCACAAAATTTCAATTGGCATCACCTGTTGCAAGTGATGGGTAAACACAGGATATGCAGCCATGTGTGCTGTCCTGTGTGCAGAACAGGTTGCCCAAAGAAGCTGTGCACATTTTATGCTCAGCAGTTTTTGAAATCAGACTGAATAACACCCTGAACAACCTCATCTGACCTCAGTGCTAACTCTGCTTTCAGCAGGGGTTTGACTAGAGACCTGAGGTCCCCTCTAACCTGAATTGTTGTTTTTCTATATAAACTTTTAATAATGCTAGATTTTAAATTAAAGAACATGGTACAAATATGTATTGGGAATATGGTTCCAAAAAACTAAAATGGTATTATTTTTGGGGTGCTGAGAGCCTCCGTTTGCAAATCTCAGATACTCAGATTTTTTCCTAATAATTTAGGTACTTATTGTAGGTTTAAAGTGCAGTGTTCAGTGTTCTTTACACTGTACTGAACTTTAACTCCTAGCTAAGAAATGAAAGAGGAATCAATTTAATGGGAAAATTAAGTCATTATTGTCTGTATAATGCTTGTATACAAGATTTGTGATATCTTTCATGACCAACTTTCCCAACCCAGAAGTTAAAAATGATTATTTTATTTTGCTATTTGAAGATTTCTACTTTTTTTTTTTCTTCCCCTCCCTTACTGATAGATGAGCATATGACAGATAACCTTGGAGATGGAGGCCCAGAAGCAGCCTGGTTTTACAGTAGCACTAGCAGAGGGACCAGTTCCAACCTCTACTCTTCAGCCCGCCAAGGGTTCTTCAGATGTCAGACAAGGCAGAGTGATTCCTCAGCAGGGACAAGCACCGTCTCAACCTGTGTATCTAAAAGCCCTTACCATACCACTGTACCAGACTGTCCAGGCAGGCTGCTTCCAGCCAAATGGTCAGTTGGTGACTAGCAGGAGCTGTATAAATCTCGACAGCAGTAACATTCCTCTCATCCTGAATCCACTTGTTCCTTCAGAAGGCACAGATCAGCCTCAGCCAGTTTTTCAGAAACAACTTGGGCAAACTCTAACATTGAACATTGTGAGCACTTTACCAGTTCTATCATCACCAACTTCTTGTGTAAACGTGTCTGTTGAAAGCCCAGGAAAATCAAAAAAAGCTGGGAAATATATCTGTAAACACTGTGGACGAGATTGTTTGAAGCCAAGTGTCCTAGAGAAACACATTCGCTCTCACACAGGAGAGAGGCCCTTTCCCTGCACCGCTTGTGGCATTGCGTTTAAAACTCAAAGCAATTTGTATAAACACAGAAGAACTCAAACACATGTCAACAATACCAGGCTGCCCTCAGATTCTGACAGCAGTGGCATCTCAGAGCAAAATGAGAAATCGACAGAGGGCATCGTGTCACATCAAGGCAGTAAACTACCTAGTAGCTCCTCTGAAGATAAGGGGATACAGATGAAAAAAGGGAGTTCAGAGACCAGTGCTGGAATAGACACTAAGAAGCTTCTTAATGACCTTTCACTGCCAGCAACTAGCAATTCATCACTTGTTTCAGAAAATCAAGAAATGGCAAATCAGTCCTTTAGTTCAAAGGCTAATCAGGGGGCTCCTGAAAGAGAACTTCAAATTTCATCATCTCCAGGAGCTTTGCCAAATAGTCAGTGCCAGAGAAAGAAGATACAGGAGCAAAGAACTCCAACTGTCAATAAGCATATTCAGTTGCAAAGGCAGCAAGCAACCTCTTCAGAGAAACAGTGGGATTACAAGCCATTTGAGTGCAAGCTAAAGAAATGTGAGAGCACTGACTCAGGGTATCTGTCACGCTCTGATAGCACAGAACAACAGATGGCATCATCCAGCCCATTGCACAGTCTCTGTGAACACAGCACAGAACTGGAAAACGAAACTGCCTTCAGCAGCCCAAGGTGTACCTCCGGAAGCAGTGCAAAGCCAGATGCAGCTGAGAAAGCTACAGCCTTGATGCTAGAAAAAAGGAGGCTGGAAGAACACATTTCAAAACTTATTTCTCATAACAAAAGTGTGGTGGATGATACCCAGTTAGACAATGTTAGGCCCAGAAAAACTGTCCTTTCTAAACAGGGAAGCATTGATCTGCCAATGCCTTATACATACAAAGACTCTTTCCATTTTGACATCAGAACTTGTGATGTAAATAGGAAAAAGAATCTTCCTTTTTGTCCAGCAAAATCTACCTTTGCACCCCTAGAAAAATGCAAGCCAGTGCTTTTTCATTCAGTTCCCACCCAGTTCTCCACAGTGGCTGACACTGTGCCTGTTACACGAAGCAACTCTCTGCCATTTGTGGAGGGCACAAGAATGGTACATGACAAAGCAGGTTGCTCTAAACCACTTTCTCTTACTAAGCAGTCTGTAAACACAGGCACTGCTGGTTTGCTGCCTAGCAACAATCTTGCTGCAAATTCAGTGGATTTTCCTAACAGCCATCCCCGAACTCTAGTCAGACAAACAGCAGTGGATGATTTGCCACTAAGTAATGTGGTTGATCATCGTCCTCCTCCAGAGGAACTGCAAGGGAGTAGAAAGCTTGGGGCTGGAGAAGTAATCAGTGCTAAAAATAAGAAATACAATCAAAGGAAGTTAAAGATGTTCTCTCAAGAAAAATGGCAAATGTATGGAGATGAAACATTTAAGAAATTCTACCAAAAAATGAAAAGCAATCAAAGTGCCAAGAAAATAAAACAAAGGAGGAATAAGGTTACAGATATTACAAGCTTCAGTAGTGATTCAAAGGAATTTGTCAGCAGTACTGATATTACTGAGGAACGAGATGGAAAGAGCTCTGAAAGTGACAGTCCTTCCTCCCTTGTGACAACAGGTTTAAACACTGCTAAATCAGAAACCAGCACTACGGGTAATCATATTCTACTGACTGTGTCTTCTGAAAAAACTGCAGACAGTGCAATCTGTGTGATGGAGACATCACATTCAGTGAACACTCGCGCAGGTGCTGTCATGAGCAAAACTTCCCAGGACCTCCAGGGCAGTGACATACAGAAGTACACAGGTGGCAACAGCACATTACGAGCTCCAAGCAGTTGTGAGTTCAGGTTTCGAAATACTCAGTGTCAGCTGAACACTGACAAGAGTGGTGACTGCTTGCCAGTACGGAGTAGCAAATGGGAAGACCCAAGCCCTGGGAAAGAATCCAGTACATTTGAATCAGATTGTAAAAGCACTTCAAACAATTACAAAAACCATGGCCAGAATAAGGAAACTGGCCAGCATGCCCTGACACCCCCATGGGTCCATTGCAACAACAACAGAGAAGCTGCAGGAAAATCCCAGAATTTACCATCAGAAAGAAAAAAGCTGAAATTTGAAGTGGAAAAGACACAAAACATTATTTCAAAGTCTTGTCTTAGTCCCAGTAGTAAAACCAATGCAGTAAATGAAGCAGAGCACGTTTGTTGCACTAGCATCCAGTGTCTTTCCACAGCACCAGTGAAATTCTCCAGCAAAGCAGAGGAACAAAAATTAAGCACAGGAATTAATGAATCCACTGGAAGTACTGAGATTGTGCAATATATTAAAACAATCAAACTCCCCACTAAAGCTCTTCATTACAGTGATGTTAACCTTTCGCAGTCAGCAGGTATCTCAAAAGCTTCACATGTGGGATTTTTAGGGCCTGAATTAAGGGGAAGTGATTGCAATTCTTTTGCCTTGCACAATGCAAAAGATAAAGATGTCATAACATGCCTTGAGAAAACAGGAGCAGAAATACCACTTTCTGATGACAATGCTGTTGATGTGTCTTCTCAAATTAATCACCTACTATCTGGTCATTTAACTTCAGTCCCACAACAAAATGCCTTTTCTCCAAAATATATCCTTAAATTGCCACAAGCCAAGACAGCCTCCGATTTGTTGCTTGGACTTAGATCAGAACAGAAGATGACACCTTGCACAGCTGTGACAGACACCTTAACCAGCCTGCCCTTCTCTTCCAACAGTGAATCATCAGGTTCCCATTCTAATGATCTAGTTTGGTCCCCTTTAAAATGTGAAGTGACACAAAAAGCCAACAAAGGAGAGCCACAATGGAATGTACATGCAAATTGGAAAACTCCAGTATTTTGTTCACCAGTCAATTCCAGTGAAACAGAAACGAAAGATATCTCAACCACAGCCGATAACACCTTTTATAACCAAAACATCAGGCAGCAGGATATTATAAAAGATGCTTGGAAAAACAAACAGAACAAAAATAAATTAAATTATCAAAAGCAAACAGAAGAGAAGTGGATGAGCCTAAGTGCTTCCTCTACACAGATCCCAAAGAAGAAAATATGCTTTACTTCTGTGTATACAAGTGGTTTTTTCATACCAGCTGACATCAAAGAAGAGAGGAAGACTTCACACAATCTTTGCTCAGGAAGTGACTCTTTGATAATAGCATCAGCTTCCAGCAAGGGTGCAGAGCCAACAAGTGTGGGATGGGACAGAGGTGGAGGTCCGTGCGTTCTTAAGGACCCGGCACCAGCGCTGCAGGACACACAGCGTTCTCAGAGCCCAACAGACAACCTCCCCTCTTTTTGCCATTCCTTTGGCACTTTTTATTGCCACACTCTCAATGCTCACTGTAAAGAATTCCCAGCACTGCCCCACAATGATCTGACTTGCTACTCTGGAAGTTTAACAGTATCAAGCATGAAGAGCACCTTCCCATCACTAAATGCGGAACCTCAACTAACTTGGTGCTGTTTAACAAGAAGCCTTCCTCTGCCTGCTGAGCAGAAGGGGAATGCAGACTCTGCCTATTCCTCTGTGCACACCTGGGCCAAGGGATGCAGTAATGAATGCCCACTGTCAAAATACGATACTTCTATTTTCAAGATAGAAAATGTTAGCAAGACTGTGGCATATGCCTTAACAAACGGGAGTTTAGAAACTCTGGTTTCATCCTTTTCTAAAGGACAACAGATGCAGGAGGTAATAATAATCCTATTTCCTTCAGGAAAGGCATTTGTTAATACAGAATTTACAACTTATGTTTTTGTAAGATAAGATACCTCTTCATTTGATGCATGAAAAATGATTACTTTTGTATGGATAGTTAAATTTCTTTTACCTGGGATTTCAGCAGCAATGTTGTCTAGTGAGAATAGGGTGTTTATATTCCTTGATTTCCCCCTTATATATTTTTCTGTAACACCATATGTATTCCACTATTTTAAATTAATATTTGAATTAGAGTGGAACTTATGCAGACCATTAACATCAAGACTTTATCATAGCAGAAGCAACTTGGACTCAAAGACAGACTGTGCACTACACTTCTCATCATTTAGATGCAGCAAAATGTCAACAAAATGAAATTGCATTTATACCCTGTTTAAGGCTTTAAAACTTTTGCTTAAGTGAAGGTAGACTATCTGTAAAGCCCCTAGAACAGCTATGTAAGACTAAGCTTACTTTTTATATAGGAAGAAGAATAAGAAAGAATATTCACAAAAGCAGTGAGTTGTTTTAATTGTATTTTATAAAAGTAGCTGGCCAAAGTTATTAGAAAAAAACTAACATAAAATTTCTAGGAAAAATTCAGAGTTGTGCTATTTAAAAATAGCATAGATTAATGTAAGTTACAAGTGTAATACCTAATTTTTTTCCAGTATCCTCAACAGCTCAGCTCAGCAGCTCCTGTTGATGCTTTCAAAAACATTTCAGAGCAGAAGAAGAAAACAGTAGTTTGCAAAAAGGAAAAAATCTCAACAAATAAACTCAAGAGGAGCCACAAACAGAAAAAGATTAAAGTCACCCCAAAATGGTAAGGAATATGGTTTTCAGCTCCCCTGGATACAGACATAATTTTGCTAAAAGGTATTTAAGAAGTCCACAGATAATAAAAAGTCATTCAACTTTGTCAAAGGGGAAGAAATAAATCTCTCAGTAAGAGCTACACCTGCATTGCAGCAGTTCCACAAAGATAAACTACAAAAAATATCAATATGTTGTTTACAATCAGGAAGACTTCTCTAAGCAAACTTAACATATACCAAAGAAAGATGATGACTGGTAAGTTGATTCTCTCTATGCCTTAGAAATCATTCTTATCTGTCAAAATTGCCAGCATTTACTTTTATTTGGAGGGAACAAAACCACTTCAGTTTTGAATTCTGTTACAGCTAAAAGCAAGACCCTTTTGTTCTCAGATCTGTATCTTGACCTGGTGTTCATGAAAGAACACAGAACAATAAATATCAATTTCTAACACAAACTAACAAAACCATCTGTAGTTTAAAGGATCATTTGGTTTCAATGAAAGACCTGGCTTATAAAGCTGTCAAAGGCATAGTGTATCAACCAGCTCAGTTTCTCCATGTTCACTGGGAGCTGGTATCAGTGGAAAATTTAGCCTCTAATCTCTGAAGAGTGTGGAGCAGTAGGATGTGTGATGAATGGCATCAATAAGGAACACATGCTGCCTGCGTACATCCCTCTGATTTTATTTCATGACTGTATCAGGCAGAGCGACTCCCTTGTGACAAATCAGTGTCAGTAACTTAATTACTGTGTCTACTTTGGCAAAGAGCACTGCAGGTTTGAAGGATCATAAGAACAAAAATAGAAAACATGGGTCAATATTATCCAGTCCAGAGACATTCTTCTAGGATGTTTTTTCTGGTTTGTTTTTTGAGTGTTTTGTTGTTCTTTTTTTAAATTGTTTTGTTTTCCCTGATGGTCTCAGAATTTCTTTCTTTGGCTATATCAAATAAGTGATGATGAATAGGTAGCACACAGGAAGGGAAATGAAGAGTAAAAAGCCAACAACTCTGCAGTCTCAGGTGATTCCTATGCAATTCAATTCTTTATAAAGTATGATGTTTTCAAATTCCAGATATAGGAAGAAGCATTTGTTACTCCTGAATGCTTTTCTCCTAGTAAACCAAGGATCTACTGAATCCTACTGAGGAAAAATGTAATAAAATAATTTAAGGTCTCTCACCTAAGATCCTTGTATTTTTTTTGAGTCGACATAAACAAACACCTCCCTCACAGTAGCAAACTGCTGTTAGACTTCAATTTACCTGATGATGTGGTGTTATTCTACTCTGGCTGCTGTGAAATAGCACATCTTTGTTCACCATTTCAATGCTGTTGGCCATGCAGGTGCAGAGGGAGGCATGTCCATGGACATGCTCAGCTGAACCAACGAAGCAAGCGACACTGTTTTCCCAATAAAGCCCTGGATGCTTTGAAAAAGGGCTACTTATCACAACCCTGTAACTTTAGGAAGTATAAATGCCATTCTCCTCAATCAAAGGAACAAGGTAAGTATTTGGAATAGTTTTTGAATGGTGACGTTTTAAGAGAATGAATGGTAGCAGGATCTCCCATATGTATGTCCCTGTTCCACATGGAACTGCAAAGCCACTTTTTTTTCCTTCAGTATCTTCTGAGAGTAAAAACACAAATATCTCACTTTCAGAACTGAACACAACTTGGTTTTCATACACATCTTTACATATGGAAATGTGACAATGAGAAGGGCATTTAAAAAAGAAATAGCTCAAAATAACATTCCACTAGAATCCTAAGCAGTTATAAGATGAATCTTTATCAGTTTCTGAAACAAGATTATATGTTTGCAACATGAAATAAGTTTGGTGTGTTGACTTGTTGTCTGTATTTCAATGACCACTCTCCCTATTTAATTAGTGGCATTAATGCAAATGTTGTTTATGCCACAACCATCTTGGGAGCAGGGGCAGTACCTCATGCTCCTTTTTAGCAGATATGAATAGCAATGGCTTTGCAGGACAGCAGTGGCTAATGAACAAAATTAAACCCAAAGAAATATACAATAAATGACAAAATGTATCAGGCTTAGTATAAAAAAATGTACATAAAATAATAAAAACAGGAGTTAGTTCAGTGATATGATGAGAAATTTACTAAGTTCTAGTTACATGGAGGAATTAAAAAGAAAGTAAGTTTTTCCAACCTCTTTTCAATAGAAAATTACCTACATGAGCAGAAAGACACATCTTTTTCCACTTCAGACAAGCCATTTTGCAGAAGGAAAAAAGAAGGAAAGAATAACCCAGGAGTATTTTCCCATACTGAAAATCTAATCCATGTTAAGCAAAAAGACAAAATGGATAAAAAAGTAGGTATTGTGCTTTATTGTATTAATTCTTATTAAAAGAAAAAAAGATATTGGTAATTTATACTTGAATTATATTGAGCTGTTTTAAAGGTCATTTTGAAACTACTTTGTATCATAGATTTTGTTTAAAAATGTGTTAAGGGTATTTTTGAAGTTAAAATATAATGAAAAGATATTCATTAATTCTTAATTATTGTCCTGATTCTTATACTTTTTCCTAGACTTCTGCTGGCTACGCATGAAAACAAAAGCTACTGAGCCAGAGTGCTGTCGTGTAGCACGAGCACTGGTTCTTCACGTAGCACAAGCAGTATCATATTTAGGAACCTAATCCTAAAGTGTTTTTTAAGTAATAATTCTCCTACACCTTGGACTTTGTAATATTTCTTACAGACTCATGAAAAAACCCTTCCCCCTACATTGTACAAACAGTTGCAATATGTAAACTAAAATATCTTAATGAAAACCGCTAACCTCTATCATCCATAAATGATTAGCATAATCTGTCACCTAACCAAGAGGAAAACATCTGAGGAAAAAATACTGCACTTCCCACCCTCTCCCCTGGGAGAAAAAGAAAGTTTTTTCATCCAGAGAAGGATAAGTAACTTTGTCTGCAGCAATGAAAAGAAACAGAGTGCAAATATAATCACAGTTGCATAAATAAAGGTTGCCATGATAATTACTCAGTTGATATGCATTATAGCAGAGATAAATGTTTTCTACTGATGTAGTCAACTTAGATATCATTGTACTTTTATAAAGGATGGAGTTGCTCTGGACTGAAAATTTGAAATGTAAACTTATTTCCCCCCCCTAATTTCTACAGGACATTTCTGGGCAAATCAGAGAACACACAAGAACAAACTTCTCTTTTCAGAACTTTACAGCTCCTCTGGAAATACCTGTAACAGCTCATTCCTGTTCACCCACTGTTAGTACAGCCACCCAGCTCGTCAGCCAGGCTGTGGAAATCTGCTGTTTAGTGACACAATCACTGGTGCTTCAGTGCGCGGTGCCAGGAGAGGCACCGCCAAACCTTCAGAGTGACTCAAGGGAATCTTCTGCTTGGTCTGGCCCTTCTGATTTTGCCAATACAGGCACAGGTGACCAAACTGACAGCACGAACTCAGAGACTACTGGTCCTCTTTCTTTACATATAGAAACAACCCAGGAAAATGTACTACATGTAGAGTCAGAGAGTCAAAGAGTTGGTACATTAGACTCAGTGATCCAGGCCTCAGGAAGGGAGAAACCTCCAGCTGAAGAAAACACATATTCATGTCCAAAAGAAAGCTCAGCTCCCAGTTCCCAGCCTGGATGTTCACGTTTCTTTGGCTCAAAAGCGGAGTCTCCTCCTGAGTCAGCCACAACAGCTAAATCACCCAGTACAGAATACACAGAGTGGACAAACTTTTCTCAAAAAATCCTTGCCTTTCAGAGAAGGGCAGACAAGAATGGAACCCACCTGCAGCCACATAGCTATGGAAGGCCACATGAAGCAGCTATTACTGCCTTAAGGAAGTCCCCAATTAATCTCAGGTCCCCCGAGTTTAACACTTATTCTGCAACACCTTGCAAGATGTACAAGAAGAGAGGTTTAGAGATTATGAGGAAGCAAACCAGAGTTGAGTATGATGACACTAGCAGTGATGATGAAGATAGGCTCATTATAGAAATATAGCAGACAGGCTGCTAAGAAGATGCTTGTATGATAATGGCCCATGACAGAAGGAAATACCACAGATGTTTGAGCTATATTTCTGAAGCACCTTAAAATCAGGAAAGCCATTCCTCTGCAACAGGCAGCATTTTCTTCTGAGGAGTCCTTTCTTTCAAGGACTCAAGAGTTTTTTAAAAAGCTTATTTGAAGCAAAGATGGAGCAGGCATTATGCATTTAAATGCAGGTCGTGAAGCTGTGTTCATGAGGGGTTTCCAGTATTGTTAAGATTCTTGCCAATCTTACGTAATTCCCACAAGAACTATCTCCAGTGGTTGTGTTAGTACTAAAAGGCTGCAGTGTATTTATTTACTGCTAATGATATTATAGCAGCAGCTTCCTCAATACCTGAGGTGCGATTTCCTAGAAGGGAATGGATGTGTTGTCTTCTATGTGCTCCTCTTTCTTGCAATCACTTCCATCAGTACTGGGAGTGATACACTATCATAAGGGGAAGATCTGTTCCCTAAGTATCTGTGATATTGGAACAGTCTGGAAAAATGCTGATCTTTTTCCATGTTGCACAAATGTCAACGCTTCTTTGTAATAAATGACACAGGCATGCTTTGCTTTGTGTTTTGTGCCTTTTATGCCAAGATCTACTCAAATATTCTTGATTCCTAGTTGGAGAATATGGGTGTTAGATATCTATTGGTATTTCCTTGTGGTAAAATTTCTGACAAAGATTTTCTCATTACATTCATGACATTGTGCCCCAACCAATGTAATCTGTTTTTTATTGTAATATTTTATTGTAATCTAAAGTTTAACTGTAATGATGCTATTTTACTGACGGTAAAGAAGCTATGTGGCATAGCTTGTTTTGTTTTTTTTACAAGAAATTCTGTGCTATGAACCCTAAAACTAACTGGTTTCTATGTGAATAAATAATTGGATATTTTAATTTGACCAGGTGCATTCACTTGCTTGATTAAACTGATTAATATTAAAAATATTCCACTTCTACATCACAGTCAAATTCCATACCTAAGCTTCTACTGTTATGACTCATGGATAGGGTTTTATGGATTAACCTCCATGGGACATTTGGAATTGCTTTTACTTTAATCATGCACAGGTAAACTTGTATAGATCATTCTCACAGGAAATCTAGTAGACTGTATCAGAAAAATTTGACAAAGTAAAATGTCAAATGTTTTAAATTTATGCAAAGTCTCTTAGAAAAGTTTAGTCTTTTGGAGCTAATGGAAAATTTCCATGCCCATTAAATCTGATCCAACTGTAAAGAAAAGCTTGGACATGCCTCTTGAGAATGCTTAGCACAAGAAAGCCACTGCATCAAACCACACCAGCAGCCCTCACAGTAGCTGTAGTCACCTCTTGCTTGTGCGAGAGTTTTATTATTATAATTTATCCTATATAAGATTTTTGCATAGTGCTTGTGGCTAAATGACGCATTTTTAAAGTGGAACTTCTAGATCAGTAATTTAGAAGTATTCTAATGACAGACTCAGAAGTGCTGTGCTAAGAAACGTTTATCCTGTGTATATTTTTCAGCATTAAATACAGAAATTTCATTGCCATACTGTAGCTGCAGCGGGAAGAAAAATGGGACTATTTTAAATTTGCTGAGAAAGAATATTTTAAATTCTTTTTCCTGACAGAAGTAATACTTGATGTTTTAGCTCATTATACAGTATAAAAATCTGACCTAACATTAGAATTGAAAACCAAACAATCTTAGTTCTTTAGAAGCACTAAGAGATCTCTGGTGGCATTTTTAACAGTATCACTAAAGAAGGTAGTGACTCAAGAGAAATCCTTTTATGCTGTAACAATCCTTGGAGGAGTAAGGTTTGAATCACATACATCAATGTGTGAAGTCTGTGAGAAATGTTCTTGGTTTAAGCTAGGGAGTTCCAGGAGTTCACCTATCCAAATCTGACTGGCCTTATGGCAGACAGCATATCTTGGCTTTCCAGAAGATGCTGCATCCACACAACATGCAAGGCCACACGGGCAAATTACTCTCTACCTCTCAGGCAGCACAAGTGCCAGCCATGCAGTGAGGCATTTCAGTAATTCGCAAGAAGCTGAACATCAAAGCCACATGAGGGCACCAGGCACAGAGAAAAATCCATGGTTCTTTCTCCAAAGTCAGCAGCAGTTCCGATGGATCATTGCTCTGCTATAAGCAAACCTGAAATTCCTTTGCACATGAATGCATCTCATCAGCTTTTTCCTGCTCCTATTGAAGGAAGCAAATTAATAAGGAATGCTGACCACTGATAAGATCTATATTTAACACCGGCATCTACTCAAATAGACTGCAAGTAAGTGGATGTTTCAGATGTTTCTCTTCCTATGTAAAGAAACTATTTCTTACTGTTTCAAACTTTTACATTAAATCTTACTCATTATTGACACTTCACTGATTTGCCTGGCAAATCCCAACTGATACACAAGAGTGGATGGTAGGGGTGTGAACCAACCAGAGCAAGCCCAGAGATCCCAACAAATACAAAAGATCTGCTTTGAATACATAATTTATGAGAAAAGATACCAAGACCTGGCTAGCTATCAGAACAGAAAATAAAGGGAACGTGCACCAAAAAAAAATCTGTTCAGTAGAAGATTGTGGGGAAACTATCACAGTATCACAATTGTCTTCCACATCCATTCTGGGAGGATATGAAATGAGGGGCTTAATTTGCAGCATATAAACTATAGATGTTAAGAAACATATAGATGTTAAGAAAAGCTGCCTACTTAAGGAGCAACTAAACATGTAACATTCAACCTAGAGAGGTTATGGACTCTTCATCACTAGGGAACTTGAGTAACAAGACAAGTATTTGCTGTTATAGGTATGATAGTATTTCAGACTGGAACAGACTTTCTTTCCAGCAATATATTTTGTTCCTAAGTTCTTGTTTGTCAAAATCTTTCCCAAAACACAATATTTATTAATTCAGTGGCTGCATCTGCAGTACTGACACACACAGACCCTACCTAAACACATTTGTTTGGCATTACTCACAATGTATATCTGGTTTTGCATGCTGCCCATGCTTTATTTACACAACTACATTTGCTCCCATTCGTGAGTGTTTATATTATAATAATTTTAATGTAATTAAGTAGCTTTGTAAACTATTAATTTAACCTTAAGGCTTTGTGTGGAATTATGGCTTCAGATTTAAGACTCCTGGCCTGTATTTTTCATTTATCACCAACATTCCACAAAAGTCACATGGATGAAAAAGTCAGTATTATTTTCTTTTAGATTTTAAAATACTGTGGGGTTTTAACAGCACATGTAAAGTATCCTAGTAGAACGAGATAAATGTCAGGTAGAAGCACAGAACTTGAAAGCTCTGTCTTCCAAGGAACTGCAATGTTACCACAGTGTGGTTATAACCCATTCTCTAACATTTATGCAGTGCTTAAATATAAAGAAGCAGTCTTCTTTCTCACGAAGTCAATGTTCCTATTGACTGCTCATGACAACTGCCTAAATATGTTCTGTATTTATATAGTGCTTGAGTTTAGAAGGACTACAAGAGGCAGTTAAACAAAGGATGAACTCACTTGAACATGTGGATGCTTTGCAAAGCAATCAAAAAGAATTCTTGAGCCACTGGTGTCTTTTGGCTTTAAAAATCCTGCTATATAAATCTCATTATCAGTCCCTAATGATTGTTAGGCTTTAAAACAACAAAAACAAACAAACAAACAAAAAAAACCTCAAAAAGCAAGGTGATTCTAATAAAGATTAATCCATAATCCTGGTTTTTAAACATCTTGAGTTTTCTGTATATATATTTGTAGCATGTTTTTGTTTTACTAATTGACAAAACAAGAATTCTAAGTACAACATTAGATATAATATTAGGAGTATGTACTTAATACAGCAATGACTGGAAGTGTTTTAGAGTGAGACAGTTCAGATATATTAAAAGCTGATTCTTATCAAAGACTCTTATGCCATTAAGAAAATGAGCAACTGGATGAGTGCCGTGGGAGCTGTGTTTCATAACCTCCTGTGGTCGTGTTTTCCAGATGTCTGTGAATGGTGCTCAGCTCAGTAGTAGGGTCTGAGGAGCTCAGTCATTCCAGACAAATATGGACAGCCAAGCCCTCCTGGAGTGAGGATTCAATGGATCCGTCTGCATTACACCCCACCTCTGCGAAGCCAAGCCTCTTACACCTGACAGGGGTATTCCTGGGGCAAAATGAAGGTCACATCAACAGCCCCCCCCCCCTCCTTTTCACACGGATACAGATACAGTCAGTGTCTATATCTAAACCACTATGATTTCGCATTCTTTATTATACATATCCTATTGAGATTTTTCTTGAAAACAACCTTGTTTCATTGTACATTCCCAAACAAAACATTTTGTCTGAAATATGCAGCTGGGAGTATGACAGGGTGATTCAAATGTGCTACTATTGCCCTTTCTGTAAAAGCAGTCAATAAAGAAACTTCTCCCTCTCCATCAAAATGGTCAATGCAAAAAGAAAAGAACAAAATTTGTTTCCATAGCATGTTTGGCAGCAAGTAAGTAGGGGAAAGGGAGCCATGGATGTTCCTACCTATGTGAGGAAACCACAGTCTGAGAAGAATAGTGTGCTGGGAAGCTACACCAGGCCTCTAATAGTTTGCTCAAATCGCAAAACCTGCATGTACAAAGGCAATTACAAGATTGGCACAACTAGCAATTTAGATAGCTATGTGCACATACATGTCTGTGTGTGCTGGCTGGAAGGAAGAACAGGGAAAATTACACTTCTTAAAAAGTAATTTGACCATTAACTCTACAATGCCTTTTAATGTTCCCATTGCTTACAGAGAATAATTTGCACTGAGCTCCTCAAGTGGAAGGCATGACAGGCATAAAACACATCATCACAGCCTCTGCAGCCCACAAGTGGTTTTTATTCCAGCTCATCCCTCTTATGAAGACATTTTGCATAACTTTGTTGATTCTGGTTATGG